AAAGAGAAAGAGAGAAAGAAAGAAAGAAAGAAAGAAAGAAAGAAAGAAAGAAAGAAAGAAAGAAAGAAAGAAAGAAAGAAAGAAAAGAAAAATAGAAACGCACTCAGGGCAACCACTCTACCCTCTATGGGAATGGGAGCCCCCTAACCAGAGGCCCTAGCCTCCTCTCTCTGGAGGCTGGTCCCTAGGAGCAATGAATTAATCATCAGGGAGGATGTGAAAATCCACACGCAGCCCACACACACCCAGGTTGGGGAAGGGCTGTGACCATAGTGAAGGAGCCACAATGCAGTAGTCGCTTTTGGCTGGATGGACCCCTATGTGGAGATATAATGGAATCCCTGTGTCGTGCAGGACAAGAAAAAGTACTGATGGGGAAAGGGACTGCCCTCCCCTGAGCTCCCTCACTGACCCCTGCATCCTGCCCCACTTCTGGCTGGGGACAGGGACAGCAGGCAGCCCAGGCTGTCTACCAGTGAGGAAGGTAGCCTTTCAGGAAAATGACATGCGCCCCAGGAGCTGTCCGCCATGCATGCACGCAATTGGGAACATCTGCCCAAGCCCCCCTCCAAAAATGCAGGCTTTCTGTCCATCCTCTCCCCCTCAAAGCCACCCTGGCCTGCTAATGACCCCCCTCCACAATTCTCCCTAAAGTTTCCTAAGGAGGCTGGGTGTGGTGGATCACTCCTGTAAACCCAGCACTTTGGGAAGCCAAGGTGGGGGGATTGCTTGAGGCCAGAAATTAGAGACCAGCCTGGGCAACATAGCAAGGCACCTTCTCTACAAAAAATAAAAAAAAATTAGCCGGGCCTGGTGGTGCATGCCTGTAGTCCCAGCTACACAGAGGATGGAAGAAAGAAGATCGCCTGAGCCCAGGAAGTTGAGGCTGCCGTGAGCCATGATTGTGCCAATGCACACTCCAGCCTGAGTGACTGAGATCTGAACTCAGGGGGGAAAAAGTTTCCAAAAAGCTCCCATCATACAAGCAGAAGCAGCCACACTGCCTTCCTGAAACTTCCACTGGGAGCGCCTCAGTCACCATAGCCAGCTGAGAGGACCGGAGACTAAAGTCTAATTCAATCCGTAGAGGGGGAAGGAGGTAGCTGTGTCTGACTTGTCTGGCAGACCCTCCGAAGAAAGTTCAAGGTCCTCACTAGTGGATGCCTTCCCTAGTGAGAGAGCGAGCTACAGAAATCCCAACCCGCTTAATGGAGGTGGTTCCAAGTCAAGGAAGGAAAGTTGCACTGAGAGGGGAATCTTCTAGAAATTCTTCCTAGAAGTATTCCTACCTCTAGAAATTACCCTGCAGACAAGAGAGCAAGCAAACACACAGATGGCTAGGCGAGGAGTTGGTCCTCTCAGCCAGACCTTAACCACATGTGTTTATTTTTATTTTGGGGTTGGGGGTCTCACTGTCTTACCTAGGCTGGAGTGCAATGGCATGCTCACGGCTCACCGCAGCCTCGACTTCCTGGTCTCAGGTGATCCTTCTTCCTCAGCCTCCTGAATAGCTGGGACTATAGTCACCCATCACCATACCTGGCTAATTTTTTATGTTTTCCTAGAGACGAGGTCTCGCTATGTTGTCCAGGTTAGGCTCGGTCTCCTGGGCGCAAGCAATCCTGCCACCTCGAACTCCCAAAGTGCCGGGATCACAGGAGTGACCCACCACACCTG